ATCCATGTTAATGATGAGAGAAATGGAAATAAAATTGAATTATGTGAAGCAAAGAAATTTTGAATTTGCAAATAAACCAGGGAAATGGTTGGCTTATAAATTTAGAAGAGAAAGAGAAAAGAAAATGATGTTGAAATTACAAGAGGGAGATACTGTTTTAACAGATAATGTGGCTATACAAAAAACATTTTTCAATATTATTCTAATTTGTTTAGAGGATGTGATATTTCAGTGGAGAAAATAGAGGAATATCTCAGAAAACAAAACCTACCAAGGATTACAGAACAAAGACAAATTATGAATGGACCTATATCAATAAGAGAAGTTTCAGAAGTTGTTAAAATTAGGAAAAGTGCCTGGACCAGATGGGTTATCGAGTTTATATTATAAGTGTTTTGAGGATGAACTCTTACAACCTCTGCAAAGCATAATGAACTTTAATTTGCAAGGAGGAAAGATGCCAGAAAGATGCTAATATAACATTAATACCTAAAGAAGGGCAAGATTTGACTTTAGCAAGAAACTACAGACCAATATCATTATTGAATAATGATTATAAGTTGTTTACAAGTATTTTAGCTGAAAGATTGAAAATAATGTTACAAGAATTTATTCATGAGGATCAATGTCGGTTTTTACCTAAAAGACAGCTAAAGGATAATGCTAGAACGTGTTGGATATTTTGGAATATTTGGAATTTTGGAGAAACATTTATAAAATGGGTGAAATCAATTTATACTTCACAGATGGCACAAGTAAATGTTAATGGAGATGTAATCAAACCATGTGAGATAAAAAAAAGGAACAAGACAAGGTTGCCCACTGTCACATCTTCTGTTTATTTTAATTCTTGAAATATTGAATAGAGATATAAGAGAAGATGAGAGGATTGTGGGCATAAAGATTAAAAAAGAGTCATATAAGTTGAGAGCTTTTGTGGGTGACATGGTTTTGGTTTTGGCAGACCATTTAAAGGGAATTGAATTTTTAATGAGCAAATTAAAAGAATTTGGGGCATTAGCAGGTTTCAAGATTAATAGACAGAAGACAAAGATGTTAAAAAACATGAAGATCCAAGATCAAACAGAATTGGGTATAAATGTATGTTATTTCAAAATAATTATGTTAGGGCATGGAATGAAGTTTAAAAAGATAGTATGTCAAGATGGAACAAAGTACAATTGTCACTGTTGGGGAGAATTTCTGTGATTAAGATTAATGTTTCACCTAGAACATTATTTTTGTTTCAGACAATACCTGTTTTGACAATTGATGTACCATTTAAACAACGGCAGAAGAATACATCTAAATTTGTATGGCAGGAGAAAAAAACCCAAATTAAATATAAGGTATTACAAAATGCAAAGGAAAGAAGAGGATTGGGTCTACCAGATTTGAAATTATATTTTGCTGCTTGTTGTTTAGCTTGGATGAAAGAATGGGTGTTTTTAAGAAATAGAAGGTTATTGCAGTTAAAAGGACATGATCTGAGATTTAAGTGGCATGGATCTCTATGGTATGACAAAGCTAAGATTAATGTAGATTTCGAAAAT